CCTAGCAACAGCGGACACCACGGGACACCACGGGACACTGGGACACCGCGAGCCACCGCCAGACGGGCGGGCGGGGGATAATGAATTGTCTTGACTTCGCCCTAGTAGCGGCGGACACCACGGGACACCACAGGACACCACGGGACACCGCGGGACACCGCGAGCCACCGCCAGACGGGCGGGCGGGAGGGGGATAATCATTTGTCTTTATTTCTGCTCCAGCAGCGGCGGGTTCATTCCTCTCGCGCGCCCACGCAGCTTCGCCTCGCCCGGACGCACGACACGAACGAATCGAAACGATTTCCCGGTTGGGGGTCTCCGTTCCACTTCGATCTCACCCCCCAACTTTCGAACGCCCCCCCCTCCCGGGAGTGTCCCACACCTCTGGAACAGTTGGGGGGCACTCTTGGTACCGCGCCCCCGCGCCTCCCAGGGAGGCCCCACAGCATTCCAGGAAGGCCCAAGACGCCCCCAAAAGACCCCCCAGAACGCAGAAACAACCCAAGACGGTGTCAAACAACCCAAGACAGCCTTCCGACGGCTTTCCAGGCTCCAAAAGGCCTCCAAGAGGGCCCAATCGACCTCCGATGGGGCGTCTCGGGCGGGCTCGAAGAGCCCCAACTCGTTGATGTTTTTCTATTTTCCTGTTTTGTTTGTTTGTTTGTTGAGTTTTTGGCCTTCTCGTGCCTTCGAGCTTCCAGCGCGCCAAGACAGCCGAAAAGGCCCCCAGCACCGCTCCAGGCCGGCGGAAGAGGCCCCCAAGAGAGTCCAAGACGGCCCCCAGAGAGCCTCCAAGATTGCCCGAAGAGGCGCCCAAGACGGGCCAAGAGCGCCAGAGGACCGCTCCAAATAGGCCCGAGGGGGGGAGCAGGAGGCCCTAACGGGCCCCCGAGAAGCCTCCAGGACCTCCCAGAGGCCCCCGACAAACCCCAGATTCCTGAGAGGCCCCCAGAAACCTCTCGAGGCTCCAAAAAGAGAGCAAGAGAACTCCGAGAGCCGTCCCGAGAGAGCCCGAAGAGGCTAAGATCGTTGATTTTCATGTGTTGTTTGGAGGGTTCTGGCCTTCTCGTGTTTTCGAGCTTCCAACGCTCAAGACACCGAAGAGCCTCTCAAGACCGCCCCGAGACGCCCGAAGGGGCCACCAAGAGCGCCCAAGACGGCGCCAGAGAGCCTCAAGACTGTCCAAGAGGCGCCCAAAACGGCCCAAGAGCGCCCCAGCGCAGCTCAACATAGTCCCGAGGGGAGGAGCAGGAGGCCACAGCAGGCCCCCGAGAAGCCTCCAGGATCCCCCAGAGGTCCCCAACAGGACCCAGACCCCTGAGAATCCCCCCAAAGAAGCTCCACGAGGCGAGAGCTCCGAGTGACCTCCTGAGAGGGCCCGAAGAGGCCCAAATCGTTGATTTCCATTGTTTCTGTTAGAGGCTTTTGGTTTTCTCTCGTGTTTCAGCTTCCAACGCTCCAAGACAGCTGAAGAGGCCTCCAAGACCGCCCCACGACGGCCGAAGAGGTCCCCAAGAGAGCCCAAGACGGCCCCAGAGAGCCTCAAATCTGTCCAAGAGGCGCTCAAGACGGCCCAAGAGGGCCCCAGGACAGCCCCAAGATCGGCCCGAGAGCGGGAGCAGGAGGCCCCAAGGGCCCCCGAGAGGCCTCCAGGACCTCACAGAGGCCCCCAACAAACCCGAGACCCCTGAGGCACTTTCCCCCCCAAACCCACGAGGCCCCCCAAAACACACCCGGAGAGGCTTCAAAACTGCCTCCCAGGAGCCCCCTGCAGGCCTCTTAGGCCCCCCCGATTGCTGCGCACTACATGGTAGGGGGCCCGACTTCAAGAAGAGAGAGAGAGAGAGAGAGAGAGAGCGAAAGAGAGAATCCCAGCGATTCCTTTTTTGAACTTCACCCCGAGCCCCATCAAGGCATTGGGCTCACATTTGAAAGATTTTCTTGAATGCTGTTGAACTCTCTGACGCTGTCGTGGAACTCTCTTGGGCCGTCTTCGTGTCCTCTTGGCTGCCCCGGAAAAAGGCCGTCAAACATCGAGATCCCATGAGCTCACTTAGCCTAGCTAGAACTTCAGCGCGCGCGCCAAGAGGGAATTATCCCAGTGCGACCCTACCTAGGAGTTGGAGCCTCTAGGAAAGCAACATTATTTGGAGCGGTAAACGCCGTCCTCCTTCTCCTCATCGTCGTAGTTGTAGCAGTAGCGGTAGTAGTAGTAGTAGTAGTAGTAGTAGTAGTAGTAGTAGTAGTAGTAGTAGTAGTAGTAGTAGTAGTAGTAGTAGTAGTAGTAGTAGTAGTAGTAGTAGTAGTAGTAGTAGTAGTAGTAGTAGTAGTAGTAGTAGTAGTAGTAGTAGTAGTAGTAGTAGTAGTAGTAATAGTAGTAGTAGTAGTAGTAGTAGTAGTAGTAGTAGTAGTAGTTGTAGTAGTAGTAGTAGTCGTAGTAGTAGTAGTAGTAGTAGTAGTAGTAGCAGTAGTAGCAGTAGTAGCAGTAGCAGTATCAGTATCAGTAGTAGTAGTAGTAGCAGTAGTAGTAGTAGTAGTAGTAGTGGTGGTGGTGGTGGTGGTGGTGGTGGT